TGTGTGTGTGTGTGTGTGTGTGTGTGTGTGTGTGTGTGTGTGTGTGTGTGTGATTGATTGATTGACAGCAAGAAGAAGCTGTGTGCGCTCTACGGAAAGTGGACAGAGTGCCTGTATGTTGTCGACACGGCTGCCTTCGAAGCGTACAAGAAGAATGACAAAAAAGCAGGAGATGAGAAGAAAAGCAGCAAAGCGGTATGAATGACCCCACAGGAGTCTGCAGCAAAATCGACTTAATTGCAAAGTAAAAGAGAGATTTCTGACTTCCCACTTGTATGAGCTGCAAACAATGCAGCATAAGTGGAAGCTGAAGTTTGGTGGTGATAAACAGGGAGGCTGAATAAATCTGCTTTTTGCCAAGTCRGTATCAATCTGCTGCAGATCTGCTGCTGTGTTTATATACTGACAGGTTCAGTCAATGACACACAGGTACACAGATGGAACGGTGTGATCTTGATGCAYGTGGTCCACATGCAGAGCAACAATGTGGTTGTAAAGGAATGGATTTCTATGCAGCTGGAACACAAAGCCTTCAGACAGGAGTGACTGACCGTAGTGTGGTTGTTGGTGGTCTGAGTATTTCAGAAAGAGTTATCACCAACCACCTGTAAGGTTTATAGAGAATAGAAAACATCCAGTTGTGTGGATAAAAAGGATTTGGTGTCAAAGGACGAGCAGGTTAATGATAGAAAGAAGCAATAGTTCAAAGAACCACTCATCATAACCAGGTTCTGTAGAACCACCACCTCCAGCCTTGAAGATCCCACTGGGTTCTGCTGCTGTCAGATAAGAGCAACAAACTGAGGCTGCAGTCACAGGATTATGCAGAGCCGGCTCTTGGCATAGGTGAACTAGGCAGTCGCCTAGAGCGCCATCTGCTGGAGGGGGCGCCGAACTGCAGATGAAAAAAGTAATTATTTGTAATCCCTGGTTGTAACTCTGCTCAGCGCCTCTTTCGATTAGCTTTGTCTTAAAAAACTATAATGAAGTATTACAGGAAAAATAAACTACTCTACCCATAAAACGTTTTCTCCGCTGCAATGCAGCTATCACCCCCACCCTCTCTCTCATTTGATTGACGTTGCACTGACTCGTCCTGCTCCGACACTCTGATGGGGCAGGGGCTAGTAGTGCCTCTCAGGTAGTGGTTCGTGTTGACAAACTCAATAACAAGTCTGTATTTTGTTGTCCCAAACATGTCAACCTCTTCGGACGTTTACCTGATAAAAAGCCTCAAAAATCCGTAAATTTTGCAAAAAAAATCCATACAACTCGCACCCGGTGGTGGTTGGGGGGTGGGGGTTGTCAGCCTTGTTGGGGACATGAAAGCGCTCGCTGTTTTTTAAATCATCCTAYAGGCTCTGACATGTTAGATAAATTTGGAAATGAGGTTTTGAAAAAATCCGTAAGACTTGAAAATATCCGTGAGATTGCCCTATACATCCGTATACCTGCAAAATGATGTAAAATACTTATAACTTACAGATAATCTGTACAAGTTACATGTATGTTGTTATTTATTTGCTTTCTGGGAAAGCAAATAAATCTAAGTTTACCATAGTACCTTACACTGTCAAATGTGTTTTTAGGGGTTCAAATTGGGGTGGGTGGGATAAAGTTCGTGGGGGGTGGGGGTTGCGCTTCAACTCGCCTAGGGCACCAAAATGGCTAGAGCCAGCACTGGCATTACGGAGACCCCACTGACACCTGGTCTCACCTCTGGATGTGATAGAACAGGAAATAACAAGGTACCGCATAGCGATAGCATACAGTGGTTTGCAAAAGTATTCATACCCCTTGAACTTTTCCATATTTTGTCACATTACAAC